GCAAAACACAATAGAACTACGCGCAACGGCGTCGGAAATTGTAGCTCCAAAACCGGATCTCGACGCCAGAGCGAAAAAAAAAAGACGATTTTGAAGCACTTTTTAAAAGGATTTTTAGAAGGAAAATCACTAGCGCCAAAATGGAGAAAATCTGCTGACAAATCACTGTCGCAGCCTTCATGCAGCCACTCCAATACGATTTACGAAGTCGAGCTGCAAAAGACAATAGTATTACGTATGCAGCCAAAGCAGGAAGCAACCTTGACACAGCCATTTACATTGCGGGAACGATCCTACAGTTGCAAAGCACAATGGAATTCCATTGGCAACTCATCCACCAGCAACACTTGCAATCCCATTTACATTGAGGGAACGATCCTACAGTTGCAAATCACAATGGAATTCCATCTGCAACTCATCCACCAGCACCACTTGCAACCCCATTTACAATGCGGGAACGATCCTACAGTTGCAAATCACAATGGAATTCTGTCGACCACACATGCACGAAAAACAGTTGAAACCCCATTTACTATGCGGAACCGATCCGAGCATGATCCGAGACCGATCCGAACATGATCCGAACATGATCCGACCACACACGAGACCGTCTCGCACCCGTCGCACAGCAGAGGTAGATCATCGAAGTTCGTGGACACACTTTGTATGGAAAAACATAGGCTTTCGTGCATCTGCTATCTCTCAAAAACGCATTTCGTGCGAGACTTCCTTCAAAACTCCATCGGCAACTCATCCGGCAGCACCACTTGCAATGCCATTTGCATTGCGGGAACGATCCTACAGTTGCAAATCACAATGGAATTCCATCTGCAACTCATCCACCAGCACCACTTGCAATCCCATTTACATTGCGGGAACGATCCTACAGTTGCAAATCACAATGGAATTCTGTCGACCGCACATGCACGAAAAACAGTTGCAACCCCATTTGCAATGCGGAACCGATCCGAACATGATCCGCCCATGATCCGACCACACACGAGACCGTCTCGCACCCGTCGCACCGCAGAGGTAGATCATCGAGGTTCGGGGACGGACTTTGTATGGAAAAACATAGGCTTTCGTGCATCTGCTATCTCTCCAAAACGCATTTCGTGCGAGACTTCCTCCAAAACTCCATCGGCAACTCCTCCACCAGCACCACTTGCAATCCCATTTACAGTGAGGGAACGATCCTAGAGTTGCAAATCACAATGGAATTCCATCGGCAACTCATCCACCAGCACCACTTGCAATCCCATTTACATTGCGGGAACGATCCTACAGTTGCAAATCACCATGGAATTCTGTCGACCACACATGCACGAAAAACAGTTGAAACCCCATTTACAATGCGGAACCGATCCGAGAATGATCCGACCATGATCCGAGACCGATCCGACCATGATCCGACCACACACGAGACCGTCTCGCAACCGTCGCACCGCAGAGGTAGATCATCGAGGTTCGGGGACGGATTTTGTATGGAAAAACATAGGCTTTCGTGCATCTGCTATCTCTCAAAAACGCATTTCGTGCGAGACTTCCTTCAAAACTCCATCGGCAACTCATCCACCAGCACCACTTGCAACCCCATTTACAATGCGGGAACGATCCTACAGTTGCAAATCACAATGGAATTCTGTCGACCACACGTGCACGAAAAACAGTTGAAACCCCATTTACAATGCGGAACCGATCCGACCATGATCCGCCCATGATCCGCCCATGATCCGCCCATGATCCGACCACACACGAGACCGTCTCGCACCCGTCGCACCGCAGAGGTAGATCATCGAGGTTCGGGGACGCACTTTGTATGGAAAAACATAGGGTTTCGTGCATCTGCTATCTCTCAAAAACGCATTTCGTGCGAGACTTCCTTCACAACTCCATCGGCAACTCATCCACCAGCACCACTTGCAATCCCATTTGCATTGCGGGAACAATCAATGCCCTAACTAACTCTTTCTGTGACTAACCCTTTCCCTGACGAACTCTTTCTTTGACTAACTCTTTCCTTGACTACCTCATATATCCTGACTAACTCTTTCTTTGACTACCTCATATATCCTGACTAACTCTTTCTTTGACTACCTTTTTCCCTGACTAACTGTTTCTTTGACTAACTCTTTCCTTGACTAACTCTTTCTTTGACTACCTCATATATCCTGACTAACTCTTTCTTTGACTAACTTTTTCCCTGACTAACTGTTTCTTTGACTAACTCTTTCTTTGACTAACTCTTTCCCTGACTAACTCTTTCTTTGACTAACTGGCTAACTGTTCTAACTCTTTCTTTGACTAACTCTTTCTTTGACTAACTCTTTCTTTGACTAACTCTTTCCCTGACTAACTGTTTCTTTGACTAACTCTTTCCCTGAATACTAACTGTTTCTTTGACTAACTCTTTCTTTGACTAACTGACTTTCTTTGACTAACTCTTTCTTTGACTAACTCTTTCTTTGACTAACTCTTTCTTTGACTAACTCTTTCTTTGACATTCTAAAAGTCCGTAACACGGAAGTTTCTCCCACTAAACTTCCTTTGAACATATCTATGGCTGCCTGGGTCCTCCTGAGCGTTCCTAAGTTTTCTTGGTTGCTTTTGTGTGTGTGTTTTAGGTGTTGTTGGCAGGTATTTGGATGCAGTAGGGTCTAAAATCTAAAAGGTTTCACCCACCACCAAAAGAATCAAAACAACGGTTCATCTCCAGGACTTTCATTTGAAACCCCATGTGTGCAAGAGCACAGGTGAAATCAAATGAAACCACCTGCAAGATGTGAGAACCAATCAAAAGATCAAAAAAACAACAAAAATTGGTCTATGGGAAATGTTCGATAGTTAATCAGGCGCCTTAATGGAGCAATGTCAAGAACCATTTTGCTCTTTCCTGCCGGGTCCCAAGGTGATTTCGCCAATGTTTTTGCTATACTCTAGCTGCTATAGTTGTTTTTTTTCTGGCATGCGCGGAGCCCACACTGGTTTATATGATCTTCCGGGTTTTTCACGGTAATCAAGTTTTCTGCTGACACATGTTTTTTGCAAAGCTTGGTCCACTGTCGTTTGCGCAGCCCTTCGCAAAGGTTGTGCAAATATTTCACCGGAATTGAATTTCACTTCGCGAGCGCCTGACAGGTAAGACAATGTTTTATTCTGTTTTCGCAAAGGTTTTGAAACTGCTCATCTGCATCTTCCCCCCCAGAGGGTGCCGATTTTTTTTTTGTTTTCTGCCCTTCCTCAAAAAGCATCGAAAGCAGAGACTCGGAAGTGGCGACAAGAATTGTGTAGTATCTCACCAGTGGACCCAAGTGCATCTTCCCATCTATGTGCCCCGGAGGTTTTTTTGCCTTTCTACAAAACAACATAACAAACAACAGCGGCTCACAGAAAAACGTGACGCATACAATTCATGTGATAAGTGCCCCGACAAAGAACTTGACTTAATCTTGTTGAAAACCATTTTGAACCTTCTGTGTGTTTTTCGTCATTTTTTGTTGCGGGCTAAACTCCCCCAGATAGGGATCAGGCTGAAAGAGTCTGATGCATTGCGGTTTCAAAGCTGCCTACCAGCGGCAGCGATCAAAAACACTGCGCAAACGAAGCAGGTGAAAAGTGCATTTTCATGGACCTGTTCAAGCCCTGAAGTTGTTAGGTAGGAAAACGGTTTGAGACCCCAGGCGTCACGAAGGCCTAAAGGTCTATTTCAATCCGCCGCCTTTTCCGTCGGCCCTCTAACAAAACCACTTTTTAGGGTCTACACTTGAGTCTACAACCCCCCCAAGTAGCCGAGAGTATGTCATTCCTTCCTTCATTCATTCAGTCAGTCATTCATTCATGCATGCATTCATTCCTGCCTTCGTTCTTTCGTTCACTGGTTCATTGGTTTGTTGGTTCATTGAATGATTCGTCCTTTCACTGATTCGCTCATTGCTTCATTGGTTGATTCACTCGCTCACTCACTCGCTCACTCACTCATGCACTCATTGGCTTGTTCAATCGTTCTGAATTAATTCATTCATGTCTGCATCCATTGATGCATTCATTCCGTCAGTCAGTAGTTACGTTCATTCATTCACTCAGTCATGCATTGGTTCTTTCATGTCATTTCGATGGCATCTCAACAATCTTTTGCTCATTCCTTGATGCACCTCACAACTTCGATGCCCTTTCATTTTCACACCCATTCCTTTTGGCCATTGATTTCTTACAGCCGTTTTCTCTCGAAACTTGCACCCGGGCGCGGCTGGGCATTATCTGGCCAAATACATTGAATATTGTCCGTCCCCTACCTCTATATGCTTTGATATATTCACATACTACGTCGGCATTTAGGATATTTTTTATTTTTTTTGTTTCTGGCAGGTTTCCACCACATCACATACCTGATTCTGAAGTGTGTATACAATATATCTGAAGATACCTGAAATCAGCAGATTCTGAAGTGTGTATCCAATATATCTGAAGCTGTCCTCCATCTTTATCGCTCGCTGTCCCCGCTGTCCCCGCTGCCAAAAGCTCTCCATCTTCATCGCTCTTATCATCTTGACCCTTGGTCGCGGCCTCAAGACCTTTGGGTGCTGGATTTGGCTTCCAGTGTGCATTCAAGGGTAACGGTTAGACATTTGAAGATGAGTTACGTAAGATTGATTAGTTAATTATTCATTAATTATAAATAAAGTACTGGTTGGTTTGCTATGCTTTCTGTTCATTTTATTTCCCCGAAGCTGTCCAAGCTGTCCAAGCCATCGACAACCTTGCTGAGGCCATTTCTTTTGCCCCTCCATTTGCTGCCTTGCAGTCGAGAAGGCTTGCATGGGCTGGTGGGTGTCTTACCCCGAGCGATTGGTCCCTCGTTCAAAGTTTAAACATTGATTATATTATCGTCGTTGTTGATTTGCTTTGAGTTGCATAATAATGGATGATTATATGAGAAATGTGTTTGCCGAGCAAAAGGTTTTTAAAAGAGTTAGTCATTGTCATGATTGGGGATTTCATTCATGTCATGCGGCATTCATCAACATGCCAAGCCGTTCCCGCAGCTGTTCAAGCTGCTCCAGCTGTCCAAGCGCTGTCACATGGCCAACGTTGCTGCTGCAATTGCTGAGGCAGTGGAAGCGATGGAGGCAGCAGATGCAGCGGTGATTCAAGGCGACGCGCCTTTGATTGAGGATGGCGAGGACGAAGAGCCTGCAGAGCCTGCTCGGGATGACGGCGGTGATCAAATCGATCCAGCTGGAAGTGCTGGAGATGATCAAGCCGTTCAAGCTGCCCCAGCCGTCCCAGCCGTCCCAGCTGCCCCAGCCGTCCAAGCTGAAGGCGCGCTGGTGCCTGCTGGCGAGAATCCCGTGGCCCGATCTATGCGGCAAGAGATCGCGGAAGGGGTCATGGCTGCAGTGGGCAGCACGCCTTTTCACCTGCGCATGGATGATGCCATGTTGCTCGAGCAGGAAGAGGTGCAGCGGCACGCAATCGCGTTGCTGCAGGCCCCGAGCATCTTCCGTGAGAAGTACGATACCCAGAGTGACTTCACCTGGTCTCTTTTCGGCTTCAACACTTTGCTGAACAGCTTCTACGAGAACGGGGTCAAGAACAGTGAGACCATCCAAGCCATCTGCGCAGGTACTGGGGTGTCTAAAATGTAAGTTTTTTTTCTTGCCAAAATAAAAGTGTTGGACAGGGTGAAGTTTGCAATTTGCGATTTTATTTTCCAATACCCGCTTTGCTTCAGGCTTTACGCTGCCAGCCACCGAGCGGCACATCGTGGAAACTGCCCGGGATTTGCTCGCAAAGATCCCAGCCGGGGGAGGCGTCCCCCAGAGGTTCATGGTCGTGACTTTGATCAGCATTCATTCCGAATGGTTTTGATTTTAGTGATGATGTGTCATGCTGGCTTGAGTCATGCCTTATCGTGTTTCGATAGAGCTTAGAGGGCTTAAGCGTGAAACTGCCATTGTTTCTTTTCAAAGCTCCCTTTGGCTGAGTTGTTGACCATCGTCCGAGAGCACCTGGAGCAGTTCGCCGAAGTGCAGGAGCATAACGGCGAAATTGTCTGCAATGTGCTGCTTTTCCCATATGTGATGAATGGGGCAGCCCGAGGCTATAAATTGGCAGTGCCAGCCAAGGACTGAGAGAGTCTAAAGACATGGAAGTGCGAGCTGTCCTAGCTGTCCTAGCTGTTATGGAAGTTCTTGGTCACGTAACGTAGTCACATGTTTTAACTAAAATATAGTTTGTTCGAACGTTTCTTAATTTTCCAAATCCTGCAGGACATGACATGGTCCGGGTGGGCGCTTCCGTGGGGCACTGACGGCTTGCTGATGCCGGTTGGCCTCTACGCCAGCGACGTCCTCGAGATGGCGCGCCAATTTGTGCAGTTGGCTGGCTTGGGGCCACGGCACGATGGTCCCAGAAGCTTGGATGCCTTTCTTTCAGACCAGAACCAGGTGGTCATGGCTGTCGAGGACAGGAACAGGGCTTGCATCCAAGCATCCTTCTCAAGCAATGCGTTCCATGGCAAGCTGGAAGAGCATGCCTCAGCAGGCGTGCGGTATGCCTTGGATCTTGCCAGGTATAAAACCATATCCACTACAAGCTGGTGGAGAAGTTGGATGTGGGCTTCGGACAATTTTTCGATTTTGGAGAAGAAGCTGGCTATGGACCCACTTCCTATTTCGTCTCGGCGGAGGGATTCTTTTACGTCCTCACCTATCGAGCTGCTGACGTGGCCCAGCGGAAGTTCGAAGGCACCCCGCGATGGATTCTGCAGGCTGGATGAAGTTTAAGTTAGCAGTAGCACAAATTAGGTTCACAGAAATTGCACACACATACACATTATACGTGATATGTAAGTATGTACGAAAAAGGAGTGTGCATGTAGGTTTTTTTTGCAAATATTAATTAATTATGATGTTTATGTTTAACTAATTATTGTCATTATTAATATTGTTGTTATTATTGTTCAAACTTATGCCATGTGTGTAACCCCCTAACTTAGTTCTTGGCAATCTGTTTCCGGGTTTCAAACATCGCTACTTGCCTGCAAGGGCGAGTGCTTCAAGGGCGACTTCGACGACGACAAGTGGCTACCGAGCTGGATCACGAGCAGCCTGCACCATCCAGTGGGTTGGGGAGGGCCCCGATGACTTCAACCTTCTGTGGGATGGCATGCAAGTTGTAGCTTGGATTTGACTTCAGCAAAATTTTCACATGCCCATGATGTGCGTTTCATGAGCGCATGCTTTCCCTGTGACTTTGAAGGCCCTTGTGTGGTTTTTGGTTTTAAAAAAATAACGAAAACTTGTTTCAGGAAAGGGCACTCGTGGCCACAAAGACGACAACGTCCATGGTGCTTGCACTTCGGTTGTCCCGCTGGGAAGATTCAAAAGGACGGCCCTGGAGTGTCACATTGGCCAGATGCTCTTCGGTCCCTGATGGTGTGAAGATGGCGATGGCACAGTCGAACGTCCATGGGGACAAATACTGTCGCCAGACCTACAGGAACACCAATGACATGGAGCTTGCCCAATACGCCCATCGCACACGGCAAGTTTTCACTTCCCGCCCACAGTCGCGCTATGGGCAGGAGTCGCAGCAGGAGCCTCAGCAGCAGCAGCCACCGCCGAGCGCTGCAACAGGCTTTCCACCAGGAATGACAGCCATGGATGATGGGTGGGGCGGAACCATGTTTGTGCCGACGGCTCCAGTTCGCCCTGCCATGTCTGCTTTTCAGCCGTTGTGGGATCAGCAGACTTGGCAGCAGCAGCCGTCCCAGCCGTCCCAGCGTCGTCGCAGCAGGGACAGGGCCAGCATGGACAGGGCCGGCGCAACCAGGGGCAGAACCAGGGATAGAATCAGGGGCAGAATCAGGGCTGGTGGAACTGAGAAGCGTGTCTGAGAGGGGCCGCGATTTTTTTCAAAGTGCAGTGCGGCAACAGCCGCTTTAATTCATTGGATCAGAGCCAGCATGTCGCTGGTGCTATTGGCCGCAGCTGTCCAGCCTTTAGCCGTCCAAGCTATCTTTGCTTGGCTTCTTCCAACTGAGCATGGTTCAAAGCCTTTCACCGATGTTTAATCCCGACTAATTTAATATGGCAACTAACCTAGTAGTAGTCGAATCACCACAATGTTGGCTAGTAACATCACTAACAGGGGTTTGGAACAATGCTCAACTGTGCACACTATCACGTCGATGGTGGCATTGCAGTGGCAGAAAACTTTTTTTTCAAGCGCGATGATTTTCTCGCTTTGGGTTCAATCTTTTTTCGCAATTTAGTCCGTTCATACATTTCATCGCATTCAATTAGCCCTTGGCCAGGCCGGGCCCTTGCCTACGTTCTTTTTCTGGAGAAGCAGGTGCCTGGGAGGTTCCTGATGCCAAGTTCACAGACAAACACGTTCAATGAACATTGCCGTCTTTTTCAGGAAAGTTTGATAATGAGATTGAAAATTCAAAACACTGGACTCAATTATTATAAATAAAATTACGACGTTCACAGTGGCCAGCTACCAAGGGTTGACTGATGGCAGGTACTCTGGGCCTACTTTGCTGCTGTTGCTGCCTGTGGGTGGCTTCAAAAACACTCGATAGCCTTTCGATGCCCCTTAGCAATACGCTCCAAGATATCAAAAACTGCCAGTGTATTAGCAAGTGCTTTGTCCATTGATTTCTACTTTTACTGAGAGTGTGTAATTGTTGATGGATTGCCATACTTTGTTATGCCCACAGGCTCGCAAGAGCCAAGGGCGTAATGGCATGTGCCAAGCCTGCTTCATTACACTATGTAGCTCATATCCTTGGCTCGCAAGAGCTGACTTGGGAGAAGGTTTAGATGTGCATCCAAGGGTTGTTTTCAAACATTCAAAGGTCAATGTAGCATGAGTATGCATTCAAAGGTGTTCAAGTGCATTCAAGGGTCTACCAATGCATCCAAGGGTCATCTTTGTGCATCCAAAGGTAAACTCACCCTGATTCACGTTGGCTCCCTTGCCAGATTCTTCTCCATGGCTCCTGTGCCAGAGTCTGCAAGCAAGGCAGTGAAGCTTTGGATGCAGAGTCTGGAAGCTGGCTATGAAACACAGCAGATGAACAGAGTGGATAGGATAGCACACAAAGCCACTGGACAGAACCATGTGCAGTTACTTCAACCAACATGGGCAAAGAAGTTTTTAGACACACGGGTCAGTGATGATAAGCGCGTTCATAGACTTGCATCATGTTGCTTTTCTATCAAGTAGATGTGTGGAAGTGACACTTTGGATGTCATAATGAGGCTGCAAAGCTTTTCTGGAACGAGCAGGAGAAGGATTTGATTCCCATGGTCCAGTTCCTCCTGCGAGATTTGCCTCAGCAGCGTTTGCCTAGCGCGGCTATGAGCAAAATTGGAAGCAGTCATGCCGGAAGATTCCATGCAAGATTATCTTTCTACATTACAGTTCTTTTTCCTAAGGCAGGTTGCTAGAGAATACAAAGTGAATAGATGGAGAGAGACAGAGAGACGGACAGACATATCAACAAATACAAAGGGGAATAGCAGACGGATAAACAATTCCAAAATGTTCATCCCATAATTGCCTAGATTATGATACAATACAAGAATAGTTCAATGATCCGCCTAGGCTCTGGTGACGGCATACTTGCTGTATCGGGCCAAGTGTGTGGTTCCATCCTTGGCATCAGAGCCTTTGCATCTGACAAGCTGGGGTGATGGAAATGTTTTTCCTTTGAAGCACATTCAATGTGACGTCAGCAAGATATAGCTGCCTGCAACAGCTGTCCCTGCTGTCCCCGCACTGCCAAACTGACAGGATCCTGGCAACATTGTGCTTTGTATCCTGAATGCTCCAAACACATTCTTGACAATAAATGGCGCGGCGCTCACTTTCAAGCAGACGTGTCAAGGATGTTTTTTGCATCCGGTGTCAAAGGCAGTGGGATTCTTGTCAGGTTTAGACTTTAGGGGGGCCGGCAGAAGCGCTCACAATAGAAGATGGTATGAGCGAATCAGATTGCATTTTATTCGATTTTCCTCTGTTAATTCCATTTCCAACCTGGGCGAAAATTTAGACAGTACGGTGAATAACAGAAAATAGTTGGCTCAAGACTTGACAGCGCTGCTGATATATTATCATGGACCTATGATCTAGAACGTCTTCTTCATGCTTGGCCAAGCAAATTCTTCCATGTTCCCTTCCTTTAAAGGAAAATCCATCTCTTCAACTTCAGGGCCGTTGTTTTTATTTCTATCTTTCTTTCTTTCTTTCTTTCGTTCTTTCTTTCGTTCTTTCTTTCTTTCGTTCTTTCTTTCTTTCTGTCTTTCTTTCTTCACACTCTCTCTCTCTCTCTCTCTGTCTGTATCTTGCGCTTTCTTTGCGTCTCTCTCTCTCTCTCTATCTATCTTTTCTTCTTCCTTCATGTTTTTCATGTCTTCCTTTTTTTGACTACATCTTTTTTTTGGGGATCTCTCATCTCTGCCCCTCTCTCTCTCTCTCTCCCTGTCTCCGCGTTCTCCGTGCCCTTCCTCCTGTCAACCCATCCATCACTGCAGCAGTGCCCCTTTATATTTGGGTCTGCTTGTGTCTCCGTTGTTTTTTTCTCTATCCGTTTCATCACCCTTGAATGCGCGCATTCAACCCTTCAGCGCAGAAGATCCATGAAGCTGCGCATCCAAAGGTCTTGAGGCTGCGCTGAAGGGTGTGCCAGCTAAGACCATGCTGGGAATTCTTCCATGGACAGCGTTGCTAAGAAAAGGAAAGCAATCTCTTTAACCCTTTTATTAAGCAATAATAATATGAATTATTTAGAAGGTACATTTGTGAGAGCCTGCCAGTGATGACGACGCAGCTTGAAGACCAGCTGTCCTAGCTGTCTTAGCCGTCACAGTTTTGTTACAATAAAAATAGATAAGAAGCAAAGACTTTGTGGTGCCGGGCAAAACACTGCATGCTTGGATATTGCTGGGGGGTTCATGCTTGGATGATTCAACTTTACCTCTGAGTGCAGATTCTTGCCATTTCCTTGCATTGAAGGGTAGAAAGTGAGCATCCAAGGGTCTAATGCAATACCTCCATTCCCTACATTGTCGCTACCATTTTTGATTGTGCTGAAAATTAAAGGCCCAAGACCTAGCCCGGCTCACTCTTCCCAGCTGTCCTAGCCGTTCTAAGCAAAGACTCGCAGAGCCCAATGGCTGCGGCTGCAGTAGTGCCACGCTTCCGGCTGACCTTCAAGCAGCCTCTTCAAAGTGGGAAGTTGGCCAAATCAAAAGAAGCAAAGGGTTCCAGACCGTGCTGCAAAAGGAAGGCAACGTCACGAAGAGTTGCTGTTTCTGAGGGGACAGTGCCCAAAGCTCCAATGCTTTTGCACTTTTTATATAACAGCACAACACAGCGAAGAAAGGCGCCAGCAAACAAGAATTCCAACATGAAATGCAACGCATTGCCAAAGCTTGGGCAAAATTGACACAGTCTGAGAAGAACATCTACAAGGAAAAAAGCAGATCGGAGTTCATTGCACAAAGAGACGCCATGAAAAGCCATGGCTTGCCCACGCGGCGCATGCAGAATGAAACCGTGCCAAAGCAGCAGTCACAGCTGTCTCAGCTGTCTCAGCTATCCACACAACCTGTGGAAGAGCAGGACCAGGCGCTCCTCAGATTTGGGAAGATCACGGTGATGCAAGGTGAGCTTCTGTTGGTGAAGGCTCTTACGGGACTGTGCTGAAAGGCCTCATGCCCTATGGCCGCTTCTGCGCTCTGAAGATCTTCAAGGGCAGCAAAGCTATGATCTCCTTGAAGCAAGAGGTTCTGATTTTCAATCAAATCAAAGACAAGCTTCAAGAAGGAATGCGGCAACTCTTTCCTTCCTTGTTAGAAGTCGAATGCAAACCGCAGCCGTTCCCCTACTTGGCTTTGGAGTTTGCTGGGTCAAGCGTGTCCCAAGTGCTCATCCAAAATGGTGCTTTCACTGGAAGTGCAATGCAGCGCCTAGCCACGCAGCTTAGATTTGCCCTGCAAGCTTTGCTTTGCACAGCATCCGCATACTTCATTTGGATCTCAAACCGGCCAACATTCTGTGGGTCCAGGAGACTTCATGCATGAAACTAGCGGATTTTGGAATGTCTGAGATGATGGGGATTGAAGCTGCCTCGATAAGGTTCGATGGATATGTTAGTGCTCCCTATAGACCACCTGAGCTGTGGAACACATCTTCCGTAGACATTTGCAAGCATCTGCGCCCATGTGTCGACATTTGGTCATTTGGCTGCGTGCTTTTTGAGTGTGCTACAGCATCCCCTCTTATGGCACCTCTTCCTCCAGCTCGCAGCTGCAATCATACTGTGAATGCATGGTGCCGCTCATGGGACAGCTTGCGCCAAGCACGGATGATGACAGAGCCAGCTGCTCGAAGATTGCGGGCTCGTATGTTGAGGTCTGGACCATGGAGAGAACATATTTTAGAATGTTTAAATCCTGACCCTGCTTCTCGAAGATGGAGCGGGCCAACACATTGAATGGAGCCAGTCGCTGCTATGCCTAGTGTAGTGTGAGCAGGGTTGCTTCCCAACTTGTTTCGAAGCGGGGTGTTCGGATTGGGAAGCCCGGGGTTTACTCATGATGGTTGAACTAGCTTAGCCGTACCAGCCGTGCCAGCTGTGCTAGCGACAGTGCCCGGACAACTTAACGTTCAAAAATACGCAGCTGCTGCAATGCTCATTCATTATCGAAGTCACGCATTGTGATTAATCCGCCCATGTTTGATTTTCATATGAGCGCATCAGCCTTCTGCTTGCCAAGGTGGGTCTTCAAAGGTAGCAGCTGCAGCGGCGGCAACAAACTCATGCGTGGAAGGGCAAGAACCGAAAAGAGCGTCTTCTACTCGTTGCTGTGGATGGCGGTG